TNNNTTTTTTGNCAAAGACACNAAAAACCTAGAATTCTAGATCTTGCGATAATGAGGAAATCACTCATGTTATAAATAAGTGAATGATGATATGTTCCACTTGTTTTATCTACAGAAGAGGTCATGTGATTTTTCGATTAATCTGTGTGACACTATTAGCGTGCTATTTTAGGATCATTATATGCCATACACCTCTTACTATAGATTTAATGTAGTTACCATATATACGCTTTATTTACCAATGGTAACTGGTAAGTATTTCTTCCACCATGAGACAAATGGTGTGTTATCATGAATTTAATATCTCAACTAACATGTCATTCTAGAGCTCACAAAAAGAGCAGAGGTGAGAGTACTAGTAGTAGTAAGTTGGACATTGATGTGATGGCTATAAATTAACCAATGCTATTTTATCTACCGAGATTCTAAGTTGGTAAGATTTACTACAGAGTTTTCTTCTCTTGATAGCCCTCCACACCGAGAGAAAGAAATATTATCTTCGATGAGTTTCTGATTTTCTATAAAGTCGATTTTTTTCCATTACAATGTTGCCCCTTTCTTGACTATATAACTCTCTTTTAGTTTCTCTAATGCCACCTAGATTGTTCTGTTCAGGTCCAACAAAATTTTATTTTCAAGCAGGTGGTGTAGGCTAAAGGAAAAACATAAATGGTCAACTCTCATCTGCAAGACATATTCAACATACGGTAAGAAAATCTAGCTAGAGATTACAAATTTTGGATTGGATATATGCATTTATGCTATCTCAATCTCTTTCGATGCACCTTGATTTCTATCTTTTTTTTTTCTTCTAAATTCTGCACCTTGGTTATAGGAAAGTGGAGTTTGAAGGTGATAACTCAAACATTATAAACTCATCAATGGACTCAGTTCTAATATTCGACTACAACATCAAGTGAAGGACATAGCTGCTTGGAGGTCTTAAATTATCATCTGGATAAATCAGATAGTTAACTTTGATATGATTCTGAATCAGCGTCACCGCATGTTTGACTATTTATTAACTCCGAGTGTCAATACCTTCTTTCTTTTAGGATATAGGTGACGCAGTTGCATTGTAAATGGTTTTCCCTATTTTGCATATGTCGTGATCCTATGCTATTTTGCATACTAAATCGTGCATAGTACTACGAATCTCTCATCGTATTAATTTGGGTGTGATGTTGTTTAAGTTCTACGGTTCTTGCTGTGACGTTTCTCTTTTGACGTTCTATTATTTATGACTTCATGTTCTCTTTCAATAAAGTTTTTGGTTTAGACTCTGCATGTCAAGAGATGCAATATGGGGCCACTATGAATTATGATTGTTGGGACATAGATGGAGATAAGTCTGATCAGTTCTACGAACTAAGGCAGCGGTTGGGCGATATGCCGATCGGCATTATGTCTCTTCCATAGTTCATAAATGGTTGCTGGCACGAGGTTTTCTGGCTTACTTTATATTAACAGTCACTAACTGAAATTTTACATTAATCTCTTTGTTTCGTAGGTTTCTCACCACTGGAATAATTGCAAGCATATTCAGTTCCATAGTCGCCGTGAGATATGTAAGAATATCATCTTCTCTCATACCCTGTTATGAGCATACTACATGTTAATGTACAAAGACATTGCCAAGAACATAATAAAACTCCTACAATTCCTTAAACTTTGTTTTACACGTAGGGAACCATGTTTGGTTCCTCCCTAATGCGTGTAATTGCTTTGTTTTTAAAAGTCCAATCCAAGATCAATGACAAACTAGAGCACTGTAGAATAGCTGGATACAAGTTTTCGAGGCTTTGTAACTAACATTTTGTTATTCTCTTTGAAATAGCTCTTACAATCCCAAACATTGAGTAAGGTCATGGAGACTTAGTGGAGATCGAACCAGCCATGGACGATGATATATAAGCCACAAGACCTTCGAGAAGACTCAATTAGGGTGACCTTTTATTGATGATGGTCTTTCAAATTGGTATTTCCCACGGAGACCTCAATAATTTAAGTACTTATATGGGAATCGGTTCTTGGAGTAGAAAAAAGGTGTTTAGATTCGTTTAGGATCTAAAAGGGCCTTCTATGTTTGCAATGGAAGAATCATCTACACTGCCAAAGGAGATGTAAGTGTGGAGAGTAACTAAGTGTAGAGGAAACTTGAATTTGCGAAACATTGTCGTGTATGATGTGTTGTGCGCTCTTCCATTATCTCTCAGCTCTTTTTAAGAAAGAATATAATTAGTCTTGGAAATTATGTTTAAACATGGAAGTAGATTGGAGCGAAGAGAAAGGGAGGAGTGATGGAAAAAGGAAGTAGTTATTTCTCAAAGAGAGAAGACGTTGCCTTTAGAGTTTTTTTGGTTCAAACTTATGTCTTTCACAATTCTCTATGTTTGTTAATGACATCATTCTTCGAATTCTCAATCTTAGGTATCTTTTACCTATATATATTCGTTTTTCAGTTCTGCATAACTTATTTTAAATCTTCACAAGTACATAACATTTGAAATTGGAACCATTGAAGTAACAATGATTTTGAGTTGGCTAATAGAATTTCTTTCAAGCTTTTTTAAGTTTTAAC